CATTAAATGGGGGGGGGGGGGGTGGAGGAGAGATAGCGAAGCATCCTCAGAGGGGAATGGCCGGGGAACGGTGCAGTGAGCAGCAAACCTCCGCCACTTTGTAAGGAGACAGGGGAAGCCCCGCACAGCTGCCGGTGACCAGCCAGCTGGGGAAACCCAGCTGCTGGCTGCAATCGGGGGGCGGAAAAGAGGGAGTGAAGCATCCAGCCAGAGAGGGTCACCAGGGAACAGCGTGGCGAGCAGTGAACCTCTGCCGCTTTGCAAGGAGGTAGGGGAAGTCCTGCACAGCTGCCGGGTACTGGTCAGCTGGGGAAATCCAGCTGCTGGCTGTAAATGGGGGGCAGAGGAGAGGGAGCAAAGCATCCGGCCAGAGGGGGTCACCGGGGAATGGCGCAGTGAGCAGCGATCCTCTGCCATTTTGCAGGGAGACAGGGGAAGCCCCCCACAACTGCCGGCTGGTAGGGGAAATCGTGTTATTGAGGGGATGGGTTGTGGTGTTCGAAAAATGTTGCCAAAAAAAAATCATGCTATCACGAAAACGTGTTAAGTGGGCACATGTTAAATGAGGAATTACTGTATATGAACTCATGACATGAGATCAGTTCAGTAAACACTAAAAGACCATAGTTTATCATTTAGTAGTACAATTAATATATAAATAATCTAGCATAAATAATGTTAATTTTTGGGTGAGTTTAAAACCAATGATTAATTGATATTAATAGGTCTTTTTTATTATTCTCTCCTTTTCTGTTACTTTTCCATACCAGCAATTGTAGTAATGCTATACAGAACCTACCCATGTAGGCGTTCTGCCACAGACAATCTTTTAATCTGGCAATGTGCATGAATTAAACTTTGCATATTCACGCTGTTCCTCCTACATCTCTTCAAGGACCTATCAGTATAGCGAACATACCATAGGATATCACCTTGTGATCATGCATATGAAAAAATATTCAGAAAGCTAGAAATAGCATATTTTTAAAAAAAATTGCTATGAATCTGACATATTCATTTGCAAAATGACACTAGTGTGTCTATAAAATGTGAAAGGTATCTATTATGAGCATTCTATGTACATTGCTCTTTGACAACTGTTTCAGTAAAATGAGAAATTAACTGTGACAGATAAAAATTCTAGCTAGTCTCTCAGGTCTCCTAGCAGGACAAGGTTTGCACAGCTTGCTTGGTTTTCTGTAAATCACCATGGCAACATTCTGTTTTAGGTTTCTTGTTTAGACCCACATTTAGTCTCTGCTAGGAATGTGTATTTATTATTTTCTGATTATTTGGAACAGTTGGTAGCTAGCAATAGATCAGGGAAATTTGCTTTCCAAACATTAAAAGACATCTTCAGGGATATTATAATTTTTAAGTATTAATTTTGGGGCATTTTTTGTTTTGCAGCTTGCTTTTATAAACAAGTAAAATTCAGAATCTGGAATGCTCATTAGATATATAAGTAATGGCTTAAAACTTCGTAAACTATATACAGTGCATTGTTACTGTTCAAAAAGAAAGTAAAAATGTACAGCCTCCTTGTTAAACAAAGACCTTTCCCATCTGTATCAACTCTAAGTAATCATTGATTTAAAACAACTGCCCCTCTGGTAACTCTAACTATAGTGTTTCGTTATTATATTATCATTAGGGCTATTTAATTCTAAACACCTTTCATTCAGTGAAGGCTGATCTCAATATCTTAAGCTTAATAAGTGCTCAGGGACATTGAAAATGGTAAATTTGCTCTGCAAATAAAGTACAGTATAGTCAGAGTCCATTTAAGGTACATTACAGTAAGAATAACTGAGCTCAGGAGTTGGATCCCAAAGTTCCAGCATTCTAGAACTTTCTCTGCCAACTTTGGGAGTTAGGATCAGTTAGACGTTATAATGCTGAGTGCAGCAATCCCTCAATACCTTTAAAAATCTGCTCCTACATGTCTTGCCTAAGTTAACAAAGGGAATCAGTAGTGGAAGGGATATGAAGAGAACCATAGTAAGCCTCACTTCCCTTCTGCACTCTACTAGACAAAAACTCTTTGTTTTACTATTGTTCAATCATGTTGTTTTCTTTTTATCCAAGGGAAGAGAATTCTGTTTCTCGGGTACCTCCTCTTGATTTTAAGTTATCAATGGTAGCTGTCATTTATCATTTGTAAAACTGGTACAAGTTCAACTAGATTTTGGAACCCTCCAGAAATGAATATTGATAGACAACCAAGCACAAACTAATTACTGGCAGACTATTTTATATTATATAATGTATGAATCACACACTGCAGTTTTATATTTTTCATGGGGATTAATTTCAAGGAAACATACAACAATTTACCAATCTAATAAGTAATATAATGTTAGACAAAAGAGAGAGAGACAGAGAATATCCTTGAATAGTGGGTATCTCCTGCAAAAATGAGACTATTTTTTGTCATAGACTAAATCTCCCATGTTGATGTTAAATTACATGGTAGCTTGGAATTACAGCGTAGCCTTTAATTGCACAGTGCCACTGAACACACTATAAAGAATGTGATCAAATATTTCACCATATCATATTTTTTACTGTGTATGATTAAAAGACAAAACATATAAACTAACATACCGGTTTCTATGCCAGGGGCAGACATAGGGCTCTGCTATTTTCCACTTTGTTATAGCAGATGACAAATGTATTTGTTGCAACTTGTAAGCATGTTGTCTTAGCCTATCCCTCTTTTCCCCCTGCATTCTTGCATCTTACTCCACTGCTGCCATCATGTCAGCATGCTTGTTTGTCACCTGCATAAATGACTCTACAAAAAACCCACAATACTTATTACCTAGGTAATGTGCAACATTTTTACATACTATAAAGCCTATACATTTCTTTCTCATAAGCGCTTTCAGATGGCAAACAGCTGGTATGCTGCTTTTATAATCTAGGCCTGGTCAAAACATTTCAAATGAAAGATTTTCTCATTGGAAAATGTTTTTTTTTTTTTCAAAAATAGCATTTTCAGAACAAAAAGTTCAATGTTTGACTGACTTTTCCAATGGTAAAATCAAAGAAGAGCAAAAGGAGTTGGTGCTCTGTATAAAGACTTCTGTACAGCTGCCTCCACAATGCTGAAGCTTGAGAAGGGCCAGCTAGCATCTGAAGGATGGAGAAAGGATCTCATGTTTTCTGTACATCATAGCTCCTAGATCAGTCATCCATCCATGGACTATCGCCTGTCTCTGACTTACGAACCGGTTACGGACCAAGTAATTGGTCGTAACTCGGTTTGTTCGTAAGTCAGACCCCATTGAGTTACACATGACCGTGCTGTTTGTAAACACGGATCGCGTTCGTAACTTGGGGTCCGCCAT